CGCATTCTATCGTGGAACTCTGTCATGGCGAAAGTATCTTTGCGCAGCATTATCCCTTATGTGTTGCTTGTTGGGGGCGTTTTGTAAGTTACACTTCGTTTGCTTGTGATGCAAATCACACCTCAGCTTCAAGCATCCTCGCTCTTATCACATCACTTTGATTTCCCCAGTAGTACTTCAAATTGTTGTACTGACAGCATGTGTTAGATCCAATTCTCCCAGCGTGGAGGTAATTCGAAGAGGCGACGAGAACGATGACCTTGACGAATGGCTAGCAGCAGCCCAAAGCGTGAACCCAGCGGCGGGCGACCTGTGTCCCGTACCCTGCAGCACAACGAAAGACATGACATCAAGAGCCGAATGGTTCTTGTATCCAGATATCGGACGGCTTGCCGCTTGTAATGAGACGATGCTCATTGACATGGTCGTTCAGAACGCCGAGGCTGATCTTAGGGAAAACGTCGTCACCCGGGCATGTACTGCAGACTACGTGTCGGTAGCCAGATCCTTCTTCGAACCCGACGGGGAGAAGGCCTCGCTTTGCACAACCGCCAATCGCGTTCTGGAAGACGTGTCGATCTACATGCATCAGCCAACGACCGGCAACGATGCGTACTCGAGCAGCCACCTACTCTCTGCCGGACGTCAAGTCATCAATCATCTCGCATTACAAACGCCTTCATGCAGCCATAGCGTTATGGAGTTCGCATACTCTCAGTCTTCAGCTATCGGTGTCTATGCCGGAGCCGAGGTTCATCAACACGGTTTGACCGCCGAAGTTTTGAATAAGTTCTTGCTTCACGTTCAGAATCAAGGCCTTTCCAAGACAACTGTCGTTCAGCTGTGCGCCGCTGAAGGGCGTGGCGCGGACTATAGCGTAGGCATCGTGGCGACCAGTGCGAAGAACCTACCGTTCGTACAGACAGCTGTCAAGACTTGGTCGGATGGCGAGTGCGTCTCCCAGGCTGATACAGGCGAAGACTGGATGCAAGTCACCATTCGCATTCCTGTTTCCGTGGAACACATCTCTGTCAATGGCACTAACTCAACCATTCGTTCTCGAAACATCTCGCCCGCTCATTTGGACACGAGAGGACGTCTCGACATCAGAGCAGACTGCAAGACTGCGACCGTCAGAAGTGGCGATGGTTGCTACGCCATCGCCGATCGATGCGGCATCAGCCAGACCAACCTGGAGAAGTACAACCGCGCCAATCTCTGCACTACGCTTGTCAAAGATGAGGTCGTGTGCTGTAGTAGCGGCACATTGCCAAGCACACTCCCTTCTGGCAATACAGACGGTACTTGCAAGACGAGGGAGGTTGTAGAGAAGGATGACTGTGGCAGCCTCGCGGCCAAATGCGGTATCAGCGCGAACGACTTCATGAAGGCTAACACCAAGACGAATCTCTGCTCAAACCTTATGCCAGGGCAAAAGGTTTGCTGTACTGCCGGCAAATATCCTGATCTGAAACCCAAGCCCGATGCCGGCGGAAATTGCGCGACCTACTACACCAAGAAAGATGACAGTTGCTCGAAGGTTGCCATCTCCCACGACATTACTGTGGATGACCTCATGGAGTTCAACAAGGGTACATGGGGCTGGAATGGCTGCAAACCAGAGGTCTTCTATGCAGACTTTCTCATGTGTGTCAGCAAGGGCTTAGCACCTATGCCTGCCATTGTTCCGGTATGCTTTTCCTGATCCGCGTTCTCCAACCTGTTACTCTTTCTGACGCACGCCTTGATAGAATGCGATCTGCGGGCCAACGAAGAACGGCACCTTCCGACCGAACCCGATCACCGCACCTGCGAATATCAGCACACTGAACCCTTGTCCATTGAACGTTTGCTGCAACGTCTGGGGCCAATGTGGTTTGACTGACGACTTCTGCGCCGTTAGCAAGTCAGAGACCGGTGCCCCGGGAACGTCTGCCCCCGGAAAGAATGGATGTATGTAGTCCACAGTCATTCGCATTCATGGAGGTATACTAACGTGCTTCAGGCATCAGTAATTGCGGCAGAGACATCATCAAAGGCACCGCTCCGGCGAACAAAATCAAGATCGCATACTACGAAAGCTGGAACTTCAATCGACCATGCCTGAATATGCTAGTGACGTCGATTCCCGAGGACTACACGCATATCCACTTTGCCTTCGCGAACGTCACTCGAGGGACATATAAGCCAGAGATTACGGACGAGACAACTCTGAAGGAATTCGAAGAGTTCAAGAAGATGAAGAACGTCAAGAAGATCATCTCTTTCGGTGGCTGGGCGTTCAGTACCGAGCCTGGAACATTTCAGATCCTGCGTGAGGCGGTCTTACCGGCCAATCGTGCGACGTTTAGGGACAACATCATCAGCTTCATTGAAGAGCATGGGCTTGATGGTGTCGACCTCGACTGGGAGTACCCTGGAGTAAGTCCCCGAGCAATTGCTGAATTCCATATGCTGATAGGATATACTCAGGCTCCCGACCTGCCCGGCATTCCGACCGATGATCCTGTCAACGGCGTCAACTATTACCGACTGCTCGCCAGCTTGAAGTCAGCCTTGGGTTCTTCCAAGTCTGTATCTTTCGCGGCGCCCGCGTCATACTGGTACCTCAAGTCCTTCCCCATTAAGGACATGGCCAAGACTCTCGACTACATCGTATATATGACATACGATCTGCATGGCCAATGGGATTACGGCAACAAGTGGACTTCGCCTGGATGCGACACTGGTAACTGCCTGAGATCTCATGTCAACGAAACTGAGACCAAAGATGCGCTATCCATGATAACCAAAGCCGGAGCAGACTCCAGCAAAGTGGTGAGTGATTATCAATGATGTATGTATAGACCGTCACGCTGATATGTTCGTAGGTTGTGGGTGTCTCTAGCTATGGTCGCTCCTTCAAGATGGCGCAAGCTGGGTGCGATTACGAATACTGCAAGTTCACCGGATCTCCCCGAGTATCCGATGCGTACCAAGGCCGATGTACACAGACTGGTGGTTATATCTCCAATGCTGAGATCCAGGAGATCATCGACAGTGGTAACATCCAGAAGAAGTACATCAAGGACGGTTCAAACATCATGGTCTTCAACAATACGGAATGGGTCGCCTGGATGGATGATGAGTTGAAGGTCACTCGATCAAAGTTCTACGACTCATACAACTTCGCTGGAACTACGGACTGGGCAGTGGATCTGCAAGATTGGCATGGGTAAGTTGATGAAAGAGCGTGAGACTGAGCCTCACTGACTAGAAGTAGAGTAGATGAACCCGAGGATTACGAAGTGCCGATCGACGAAAACTACTGGGCTGCCTGCGAGGGGCAATTCAGCTCACTGGATCAGTTGAAGGACCGCAAAGGCTCGATCCCCGGCCACTGCATGGAGCAGTACATCACCGATGTTCAAATCTCTGTACTCGATGGAGCGCTGAAGAAGTACAAAGATCTGGTCGACAAGGGTTACGATGATAAATTCGACACCTACTCTTCTTACGTGAAGGACCAGATTCCCGACCAAATCAACAACTTCATGGCAAGCGACAAGGTTGACGAGTACTTTACTTGCACGGATCACAAGAACTCGGCAATCTGCTGTGACGACTGCATGTATGCCGGCTGTAATCTGAACTGCATCAAAGGCAAAGACTGCAAAGGAGGCGCGGGTGACTATCCCATGGAGAAATGTCCAAAGATGGAGTTCAAGGCACGCCCACTCACGAGCGACTACATTCCAAACGCGACATTCACCCTCAAGGACGAAGACAGCTTTTACGACGACCTCTCCAAGACTTGGGGCATAGACAGAGAATGGATCAAGTTCGGCAAGCGCGAGATGCGAGTCAACAACGGTTGCCAGTATTCCTCGGACGCCCCATCCTGTATGGAATGGAACAACAACTTCTTCAGGAACTATCCTCTTATGGACCAGAACAAGGTCGAGATCTACAACCCCAAGGACATCATCGGCGACTCCTACTCCAAAGCCCAGGACATGCTGTACCGCTTCCAAGACATGTCGCTGGCAGGTATCTGGGACGAACAGATGCCCGAATCTGACATGGTCGACTCCACCTCGCTGCCAGCATTCTCTACCGAGGAGGCCATTGTGGCTATGGAGAAGATCGTAAGCAAGGCTAATGAAATAGAGAAGGCGGAGCGCGAAGAGTTCATTCTGAACTTCATCATGGGTCTCTTGTTTTTCATCCCGTTCGCTGGTGAAGCAGCCGCAGGGCTGACTGCTGTTCGCTCTATTGCCAGACTTATCGGCACGGTAGGCGACGTCGCACTTACAGTCTACGGCGTAGTCCAGGATCCAGAAAACGCCTTTATGACTGTGTTCAGCGCCCTTGCAGGCGCGGGAGTCAGTCGGAGTGGGTTCAAGGGTGCGGCAGCCTCAAGACGACATATGAAGAAGGAAGATTACGACAGTCTCGGTCCTGTAAAAGGAAAGCTCGATTTCGTAGAGGACTTGAGAGGTGCTATGTGCCCGATTTGAGACGATGCATGCGTCCGCTTCGAGGTAAGGTAAAGCTGTTTGCGTCGAGACGAGGGCCTTCGCGCGATGGTATGATGCGGCGCGCCGCTTGTCGGGATACCATCCCATACCGGTACATCGCGAATGCGAATATATACACATGTGTTCTGTGAGGGTTTCCAATCCCCTGAAATGATTACATTCATTACGTCCGCTCTATATATTGCAAAGGCATGGTGAATGAGTGCGAAGTCGAGAAGTAAAGTCATCTGCCTCCGTATGCATATTTGCATCCCATTCAAGACTTCTCGCCAAAGAGCAGATAACGTGCGGTGTACTTGCTGTCGCAACAAGTATATGCTGTTATCGGAGTGTGCGCAGAGACCTATGACGTAGCGTGTGCTGAGGCAAGCTTCGTGATCACCTCCGCCGGCCCGCAAATCCAAGAGCAAGATTCACCACTCCAGCCTCACCACTTTCGCCCCAGCGTCTTTGTTTTTTTCACCAGTACAAAACTCAGATATGGATCAATGGTTCAGTCAAAAGGCGAGCGCCGGTGACAATGTCTTCCAAGAGTGCACCAAAATACTCTCAAATTATCTCTCCAACACCACAGACACCTCACCCGCCTTAACCGCATCAGCAATCGTAACCTCCGTTCAAGCCTCATCAAAACCCGCAGATACCGGCTTCGAAGTCACAAATCTACTCCTTGATATAGCCGCACAATTCTCCACCTCACATGATCCTATTAGCGCCCTCCTCCCCGCCATCCGCGCCATACCACCCACGCCAAACCCAGTCTACTACCACCTCGAATCCATGCACCGGGAAAACTATGACGGCATATCTGGACTACGGTATCTCTGGAAACCAGAAGATAAGCAAGCGACTGTCACACCGGGGGATAGATGGGCTAATTACAACGTCTTCACTGTCAAGCTCGCTACGTCTGGATACGATGATGGGTACTTCATGTTCGGCTTCTTTTGCCTGCGCGAAACTCTCGAGACGAACCAGCAATCTCGAGAGGCGGAATTCGAGAAACACATTCGCCCTACTTTCATCGAGCGTTCCGCAATCGATGCCAATGAACTTCTCAACTACGACCTCACAGCCGCTGCTAAATGGGTCATTCTAGGCGGACGCGATATGTACCGCTTAGGCAACTCGATCTTTGGAGCAGATTTGCAGAGAGGCATCGCGGTGCACACAGACCTTTGGGAAGGAAACCCGGGCTTTTCGTTAGGAAGATGGAGAGAGTGGTGGAGGAGTTTTAAGTATTATGCGCAAGCATCGTACGTAAAGGAGGAGGTGAAGGTATTGTGTAGAGAGGCGGATCAGGCGATTGCGGATGCTCTGTTTGCGAAGGTGGATTGATGGATTTGCAAAAATTCTGAAGCAAGCAAAATGACTGGGTTCATCGTAAGAGCTCTGTGTATATGGGATGGTGTCGCTAGATGATGTGGGTGTCAGTCATAAGAAGCAGCCTCGATTTTCGACGGTGATTTGATGCATGGATTTGGTTAAATACACGAGGGTTAATGAAGCTTGTAGACTTCCGACAAACGAAGATAATTCACGAGAACATAGGGCCTCCGCCTACCTGCGGCAACGATTGGCTAGAGGCGAGGTTCTCGGGCGGCGGGCGCCAGGCCTGGAGACGGGCCACGAATGAAAAGTGATTTGATGCATCCTCGTAACCATGATGTATATCTTGAACTGTTCGACGCTCAAGCTTCGTCAATGGATGTGCAGGAGCCCACGTCGAGGAAAAAACCCCATATCTTCTGTGTCTTTAAATTTTGGAACGTCTCGCCAGACCGCAGTCATCGCTGGCTGCCAGGCAGATTTTGATCTTTCCATCGGCTCCAGGACAAGTTATTTTGGTAAACTGCCAGAAGCAGTGAGTGATGAAGAAGAAGGAAGACCACAAGATCTCGCGATCTTTATACAAGCCCTCGCCGCTGACTAGCCTCTTTCCGGCGACCAAAATCGAGGCATGAGTGGCAAGAAGCGCAAGCATCACCTTCATTTCACACATGAATTTGAATTTGGGTATTCATTTTGCACATAGCGAAGTATTTCGCCAACATGAAACTTTATCCATGGCTTTTTCGTATATGCGCAAGACACACATGCAACTTGGAGCAGTCGCAGCAGACATTTCAATCTCCGTTGCCCCCTTCAGACATACGTAAACCCTGTAGAAGTTTCTGTTCATTGCCTGGACGCTTCGACACTTTTGCAGAAGACATAGCCACATAGAAGGGTTGTTTTAGTCCGCCGACGCCCATGTAGCCTTAAAGTTTCTTTTTCGGAAACACAGAATCATGCCGGTGTACCATGTCCCTTTTCTAGCAGAGGAAGACGGACAGACAGACATGTACACGTATTTCGCGTCTTTTGTTCAATACTGGAAGCACATTGGACATGCCTATAGTAGTTTTTCAGTTTCCAGGGGAGGCGAGAGAACACCATGTTCACACGGCTTCTGTTTTTTGGCAAAGCAGAGGAGGCAGAAACCATCCGCCATGTCCAGCCAGTTTTTGATTCCCGGTTCTCAGAGATGTGCGAGGAGAAGAGGAGAAGACCAGTCATTGTAGTAATCTGGGTGTGGTTCCCGCCAGCCGAACACATAGTCGATGATTCGTTCCCTTTTGGAAAACTCCAGGAAGAGTCGGAGAACACCATATGCCTGTGGACCCGACGTTTCTTTTTGATCGGGAGGAGAAGGTCGCAGCCATTATCCTGATGGCGAGACGTTTTGGTCGCTGACCTTGGGAATGTTGTAGAGGAGAAGAGAGACCGGACAGCCATCAAGAATGCTGAAAGGTGTGTTCTGGCAGACGGAGCACACATGGATGGGTTTTGATCTGATTTTGGTGTATCGCGAGAAGGCGGGCGAAGACACCATCCGTACGTACGATGCACGTTTCAAGAAGGAGGGAGGCGAGAGAGACATTACGGAAGCTGTCTAGAGTTTTTGGTGTGGGTATTTTGAAGAGGAGGAAGAGACAGAGACCCCATAATTCGCCACAGGTGATCTTTTGGTCACGCCATGGACCGAAGATGGATAGCCTTTTGGAAAAAGCACAGAAGGATGTGATATGATAAAGGAGAGCAGTGGACAGCATGAAGAAGCCTTTTATGTGCACACAGCCAAGCTAGTCGCGATCATGCACGTGAGTCGCTAAGTCCGCGCACAGTCCGCAATGCTTGCCGCGGAAGTCTCCGGGCCCGTTTGCAGCATACACAGCACCAAGTACATATCGCACACATATTCAATTCCACACTTGATATGTCATGAAGTATCATCTCATTCCCAACCTATCATAGCACCATCTATACCCAGCAAGAAAACGCCACATATGCATTCATAAACCCCACCCTATTTGGGTAAAAAAAAGATTCCATCGACCAGCAAGTGTTGAAGCCAAGCCAAGGTGATGTAAATGTAAAGACGCCAGAACACCCACGCTGGGGGTGCTTGTTGAAGAAAGAGGCCTATCCGATAGAGCCCCGCACCTTTGATGCAAAGAGTAAAGGAAATCGTTGGGAAGAAGGTCGAACCCGTCGTGAAGGGTGAAGGGTTTTAGGTCGGGTTCGGCGCAGCAGCACCTGTGATATCGCTGTCCTCGCCCTCGACAGGTGCACATGTGCAGAAGAGGTTTGTGTCGCCGTATGCTATCGCTCTGTTAGTCCACATCCCGTCCTCACAACTCAACAAACGGGGGAAAAGACTTACCATCATCCAACCTCGCAACACTAGGCCAGAACTTCTTCGCCTTCAAGTAACTGAGGGGATACGCTGCCTTCTCCCTCGAATAACTCCTCTGCCACTCCCCCGTAATAAGATCCTGTTGAGTATGCGGACTCATCTTAAGCACATTACCCTCCTTGGGTTGTTGGCCCTCTTCAACCTCTTTAATCTCCTTGCGAATGCTAATGAGCGCATCGCAGAAACGGTCCAGCTCGGCTTTGCTCTCCGACTCAGTAGGCTCGATCATGAGTGTGTTGGCAACAGGCCAGCTCATAGTCGGGGCGTGGAAACCATAATCTTGGAGACGCTTGGCGATGTCGATGGCTTCGATGCCAGCGGTTTCCTTGAAGCCGCGGACGTCGAGGATGAATTCGTGGGCGCAGCGGCCTTCGTCGTTGGTGTAGAGGATGGGGTAGTGCGGCTTCAGACGGGAGAGGATGTAGTTTGCGTTTAGGAGGGTGATCTTTGTGGCTTGGGTGAGGCCAACAGCGCCCATCATCTTGATGTAGGCCCAGCTGATGGGAAGAATGCTGGCGCTACCCCAGGGCGCGCCGCTGACGGGGTGAATGGCTTGGGCGCCACCGGTTTCGCCGCGGAGATGGCCGGGAAGGAAGGGCGAGAGGTGTTCTTTTACACCGATGGGACCTACACCGGGGCCACCGCCTCCGTGGGGAATGCAGAAGGTCTTGTGGAGGTTGAGATGGCAGACGTCGGCACCGATCTCGCCGGGGGAGCAAAGACCGATTTGGGCGTTCATGTTGGCACCGTCCATGTAGACTTGGCCGCCGTGCTGGTGGATCAGGTCGCAAGCCTCCTTCACGCTGGGCTCGAAGACACCAAAGGTGCTGGGGTAGGTGACCATGAAGGCACCGAGCTCTTCGCTGTGCTTCTCGCACTTGGCCTTCAAGTCCGCCATATCCAGGTTACCGGTCGCTTGGTCGCATTTGATGGGCACAACGCGCATACCGCACATGGCAGCACTAGCAGGGTTGGTTCCGTGAGCCGAGACGGGAATCAAGCAGATGTCGCGCTTCTTGCCAGGCTGCTGCTCGAGGTACTTGCGAATGACGCGGAGACCAGTGAACTCACCCTGAGCACCAGAGTTGGGCTGTAGCGAGACCGAATGGAAACCGGTAATGTCGGCCAAGTCGTCTTCCAGCTGCTTGATCATGTCTGAGTACCCGGTGGCGCGGTCCAGAGGCAAGAAGGGATGCAAGTTGGATACGGTATCAAACGAGACAGGTGCCATCTCTGCGGTAGAGTTGAGCTTCATCGTGCAGGAACCAAGAGGAATCATCGAGTGGACTAGAGACAGATCCTTCGAAGACAGATGGTTGATGTAACGAAGGAGTTCCGTTTCGGAGTGGTGCGAGTTGAAGACTGGATGGGTCATGAATTCGCTAGTCCTCTTGAACGGTTGAGGAACTTCGATGTCGACGGACTCGGCAAAAGACCAGTTGTTGCGGGTTCCGTTGAACACATTCAATACTTTGCTAATGGTGTTCGCACCAGTGGTCTCATCAACGGAAATACCGACGTGATGGGCGTCGATCCTTCGCACGAATATTTCGTTCTTCGCGAGTGCGGAGATGATGGCGTCGGTTTTGTCGCCTGTCTCGACAACGACTGTGTCGAATAATACAGGTGCGTTGTCCATCTTTCCGCGCTGACCAGTTTGGTAGCCGTTGGCGATGAGCGCTTGTTGGATAGTGCGAGCCTTTGCAACGACCTGCTTGGCGATGGCAGTCAAGCCATTGGGTCCATGGTACACAGCGTACATGGCGCTCATGTTTGCCAACAGAGCCTGTGCCGTGCAAATGTTGCTGGTGGCCTTCTCACGACGGATATGTTGCTCTCGGGTCTGCAGCGCGAGTCGTGCCGCAGGGTTTCCCAACCTGTCCTTCGACAAACCGATCAGACGACCCGGAATCTTGCGCTTGTACTTCTCGTCGCAGGCGAAGAAGGCCGCGTGTGGTCCGCCGTAGCCCAGAGGGACACCGAATCGTTGTGCGTTTCCGAAGGCGATGTCGGCACCGAACTCTCCCGGTGGAGTAAGCAGTGTGAGGGCGAGGAGATCGGTCGCAACGCTGAAAAGCGCACCAGTCTTGTGCACCTTATCAGCGAGACCGCGGAAGTCGTTGACAGCTCCGTCAGTGTCTGGGTACTGAGCGAGCACACCAACTAGATCCTGACCTAGCTCCTCCACTCTCTTGCTGTTGTCCTTGAGTACATCCGCGACCTCAATCTTGATGCCGAAGCCCTCGGCGCGCGAGTACAGAACAGCGAGAGTCTGAGGATGGCACCTCTCCGACACGAGGAAAGTCTTGTTCTTGCTCTTCTGCTTGGACAGAGGCATCATGCCCATGGACATGGTCATGGCCTCGGCCGCCGCAGTAGGCTCATCCAGCACCGACGCATTCGCAATGCTCAGGCCAGTAAGATCCGAGACCATAGTCTGGAAGTTCAGCAGCGACTCGAGACGTCCCTGGCTGATCTCGGGCTGGTATGGGGTATAGCTAGTGTACCAAGCGGGGTTCTCGAGGACGTTCCTCTTGATGACCTCCGGGACCTTGGTGCCATAGTATCCCTGTCCGATCAGACTCTTGCCCGGCTTGTT